ATCATAAAAATGCTTAATATCGGCCAGGCCGATAATCGGTCGACCCCTAATACATAGGTATGGACTGATTGATTCATTTATGTTATTCTTCCCTATGCTGCTACCTGATGGACTGCTGTTATATATGTACAGATTGGTTGAATCATTTATTTGGTTTCTTCTTTTCTGACATTTATGAGCAGTATTGATTATATACTCATAGTTTAATCATGTGCAATACACCCATTTTTGCACTACCTTAAGATGTATAGTAATGTATATGATGTTATTTGTTTGCCGTGATGTATATTATGTTTATTTAATGTTGGTTTTGTTAATTATGCTTGCACTATTATGCACATTGAGCACTGGGCTCGGAGAAACGCAATTTCGTTCTGCTAGACACTTGTTGTAAGGCTAGAATGACAATAAAGTATTTGAACTTGAACAGAGGATTATCTAGACACCCTCATTCTCCAAACCGAGTATCCATCTGTCAAACATAGTGATGTCACGTACTTATGTATTGAACACATGCATACAAATCACATATGCTCTTGAACCTAAGTGCATACTTAACATTTCATCTGAACATAGTTTGTATGCGGTAGATAATAGCATCTGAAACATGAATGTGCAATAGCAGAGAGGTTAAGAATAAAATGGTCATTCTTCGGGGGTTCAGCAATGTTTCTAATGAATATAATTATTTGAATATATGGGAAAGACAAAGTCCAAAGCCCATTACAGAAACCAATTTTAAACATGGACAAATCAACAGATCTTTAGACAGATTATAATTTATTTTCAGCAGCTATTGGAGATTTGATTGGAACTGATAAAGAATATTCCTTCAGCCAGGTAATGCAGGACATCTCTAAATGTAAATAACAAGAAAAATGCTAGTGAATAACTCATCTTTGGGTGTTATTTTAGTGAGATCAGATCAAACAATGTAACAGCCTGAGGAACGGTGAGAGGATGATCTACAGTAATATTTTCAGTTTCTAATCTCCTAATTTCCCCTTATCATTTTTTTTTCATGCAGCTAGAAATAGAATAACTGATAGTTCCTGCTGCTGGGAAATCCATCTTCTCATTAAGGGGATAATCCACGGTGAGCTCTGATGCTGCAGATATGCATTCGCTAATTGCATTTCTGACCAACACAAAGCATCTCGGGTGAGATCAGCGGTTCAAATGAGGAGTTCAAGAGGGTAATAAACCATTCCTCTGATATGTGGAGAGGAGCTAATGTTCATTTGATTTAAAACTCCATTTTCCTAAACCCTAAGGCAGCATATACAGTTTCTCTACTCTCTTTCTCTGGAGAATTTACTATCATATATCTTAGACTAGAAATGCAATGCACCAAGTATAATCTGCTGTATTCAAATCAATAATTGCAGCAGTAGTTGATTAGATCACAACACATCAGTTATCAATCTGAATGAATTAGTGTGATGCTCTCATTCATCATATCAACATAAGTGAGGTCCATCTTCAGGCAGATAAATAGCCTGTTAGGACTTGCTGTCCATGCACAGTCCAGTCATCTGTTTATGTTCGCTGCAAAGGTCATTCTAGGCTGTTTGTAGTTATAACCAGCTGCTCTCGGAATTCCTCAAGTCATAAGAGCCCAGTGATGCAGAAATAAGTGGAAAACATGAGGTGAGATGTGCGCTCCTAACTCAATTTCAGAGTGCATCTACGGCGGGCCTGTTGGCGGGTATGCCGGAGGCTTGGCTTTGCTTTTGGCTCCCCGTCTGCTGCTGACACTGATGCTGATGTGAGCTTGGCTCCCTTCTCTCGTACAATTCATTATGACCCTCTGATGACTGCTTTGAAAGCCCATGATAAATTTATTTGTCGGAGCCACTGAGGGATCTCATATTTTACCCAGTCCACAAACATCTTTTCTAGGACCGAATCAAAATGTGCATTAGCATAGCAAATGTGAATGCAATGAAAATGGCCCAGTGATATGGTAATCAAGATGATTTTCTGCTAACTGTGGTTGAATCATCAGAAACTTTTATTAAAGACTAGGGCCTATAAGTTTCATGAGACTCATGAGGACTGTCTTTTATTAGCCCTCACGTGTTTACTCCCCATAAGCAGCTCTTAACTTCTCCTTGCACTAAAGTAAGGTCATGTTCGTATGTAAACAAACAGCGCCAGCAGCTCAGCTAAATGACACATAATGGAGCTCTGGGGCCGCATGGTGTTTGCCCATTAGATATAATGTTTGTTCAGAGTTATCTATTTTCCATCTTATCCACAGAGAAATGATGACTGCGATTGTATATACAATTTCAAGTTGTAAATCTCCCTGTCCTCTTATGGAATAATCTAGCATGTAGATAGATAGAGGGAGATGAGATCATTTTATTCACTGTCTGATTTATGAGTTTACGCTGCTTGTGGGTTTGCTACATTATTAAAATATTTATTTGAACAGAATGCAACACAACTTCAGTGGAAAGGCTGTAAACATTGTATTGAAAAAAATAAACCGATTATGATGACTGAATGTTTGTGCTCTATTTTTATATTTTATTTCAGCTATTTTATTTGTAAGAAATATACAGTACCTCTAATATGTTGTTACTATTCAGCTTTCAGCAATATAAAGACAAGCATCCACAGAAAGTAAAAATGCTTCTTTTTGCTATTTGCTATGTCGATGAATGTTAAATAAAGTGTCCAGTGGAAATTCCCCAGCTCCCATCTCCACCATCATCTACTTCACAGAACAACACTGAGCTTTATTTGTCAGACAGTGAACTGAATCTCTGTATAAGCTGATTTTTTTCCCATTGTGACCCTTCTCCTGAGAATGATGCTCTTTAATTTTCTCTCTCTCTCAGTCTACAAAATGTTTTTTTATGACTGTCTGAGACAAGAGATTATATATGCTTTTTCTATGCTTTTAGAACAAGCAGACTTTTTTATACTGAACTACCCTTACAAAACAGTACTGTAACCATTGTACAGTGAGGGTATTATTAGGTTCCTATGATATATTATGACACTGAATGATTACCATGCACATGTGTCATGGTATTATTATGGTACAATTATGGTCAAAACAAATCAAAACATGGTGTAACCACAGTACTCATCAGTACATCAAAATTAAATGCCAAAAATGAAAATTCTGTCATCATTACTCACATTTGTGTCATTCCAAACCCCTTTCTTGTGAGGAACAAAAAAGAATATATTTTGAAAAATGTTTAACTGTTCTTGTCCATTATGTGAAAGTCAGTATGGTCTAAAACAATATTGGACCCCACTGACTTCCACTGTATGTACAAAAAATCACTTAGACATTCTTCAGAATTCTCATTATTTTATGTTCCATAGATGGGAGAATGTCATACAGATTTAGAAAGTTATGAAGTTGAATAAATGATGACAGAATTTATATTCTGGAGTGCACTATAACTTTAACCTCTGTGAACACTACAACAAACTAATCACAGATAAACAGGTTATTTCCATCACGGTAACCCCAAAGAACAGCAGAACAGCATCGCAGTAAGAAAGTTCCCATATAAATAGCATGTCCATAACCGGCTGGTATATCACACCCGAGGTGTTTGCAGACACGAGGTGTAAGCAGGTGTTTGGCATGCACAACATGTATAACGATCACAAACCACATTCCTATACGGAATGCAAAACGTGAGCTCTGTCGAGGATAAGGGCATCACTGCATACTTGAAGGGGTCGCACATTGTTTCCGCGCTGTCCTCATTTATCTGTCATTACTCTGGAAATCCCTTGTAGTCATTGTGGGGGTGGGAGAGAGAGCTATATTTAGATCAGAGGAAGAGGTCCCTTGTTTAATCTGGAGTAATATAAATAGCAAAGAATCCTGTCATACAGTAACGTTTATGCAACAGTGAGACAAGGTTCAACAAGCTACAATAGTTGATGCCAGATTCAAAGACTCACCATTGGGAAGCTTGTGACTGTTTTCCACCAGCCAGGTGAACAGGTTGGCAAAGTTGCAGTTGCACACCCAAGGGTTGCCCTCTAACCTTACCACCCTGAGAGAGGGAAGCTGGCTGAGGGCACCCACCTGTAGCCCGGACAGGGCATTGCGTTCTAGTTCTAGTTCACGCAAGGAGGTAAGACCCATGAAAGCATCTTCGTTGACCATGCTCAAATGTGGGTTGTTGCCCAAGCGCAACTTAATTAAGCTCCTCGACTCCCCAAAAGTCCCTTTGGGGATCTCGGTCAGGTTATTGCAACCGAGGTCCAGGAAAACCAGCCTGGAGGAAGTGCTAAGGGTGCCTGGCTCAATGTGCGAGAGTGAGTTGTTACGGAGGTCCAGGTAGACCAGGTCGCTGTAGAGCACGAGGAAATCCGAAGGAATCCGTGGGATCCAGTTGTTCGCCAACAGCAGCCTCCGCACGTCCAAGGGGATCTCATCTGGAAGACGGGTAAGTCCACGCCCGCTACAGTCCACAGTGTGAGGGTCTGGGCAAAGGCAGGTTGCTGGACAGTTTTCCCCTTGAGTGAACAAAGCGAAGAAGAGCAAGGCAAGGACAGGCTGGAGCCGGTAAACACATGGCAACATGGTCAAGAAAGAGGGGGAAAAGAGAGGGAATAGGGTCAGGGGTAGAGGGATGAGGGTCAGAGGGCAGGAGATTAGGAAAGGGGAGGGGAAGGGAAAACTGAGCAGAGAATCAGTGCCAGCGCAGGAGCATCCTGCCGTCCTGGGCAAGAAATCTTAAGGTTTGCACATGAAGCGGCTCGAGCAAGACGCGGACGCTGTTTTCCGAGAGATCATGTAGCAAGCAGCCCTGGAGTGACGAGCAGACTGCTGGCTTTAAAGGCACGAGGGGAGGAGAGATAGCGAGCTGTGGGAGGGAGCGCGAAAGCATGAGAGACTGAGGGAAAGGGGTGGAGAAAGCAGCAGACAGAGGTAAACAGAGACCAGAGAGCAGAATGTGTGGAAAATCAGAGGCACGAACAGATTGGCAGCGTGGAAGAGGAGGGGGGCTCTTCCAGCTGCTCTCTCGCAATTAACCCGAGCTTGATCGAAGACCGCCGTCTGACACAAACGGATTCAGCGAAGAGAGGCTCTGTCATGGTGAGCAAAGAGAGAAATTGTTGCATCTCTCCATTTGTCCCTCAGCTGAGCACAGGAATGATTGCTCGACCGGCGGCTGTGAATATGACCCTTGGCACTTTGTAACTGAGCTGTCATGGTCCTAATGAGGAGAATTCCCACAGAGAATTAGGAACTAGGCAGCGGTGTCCTCTTCCCCGCTCTTTTTCCTCTTCTTATCTCCCTTTCGTCTGGCTCCCACGCGTCGTGCGATGCCTAGGCACGACTGTGTCTGATGAGAGGTTGTACAGCACGGTTTTGCAGCTCTGTTGCTATGGTGAGGAAATCCAAATATCCACAAAGAAGTTGTCTGCATGCAGATTAGAGACCGGCGTGGGGAAAGGGGGAAGTCTATCAGCATGCTGGCTCATGGACTCCACTGCTTTTGTTCTGTGTTGTCTTTGCTGTTTAATATGGAGGGATGAGGCGACCATGCACTCAACATGTGATGTCATTTCCTTGTTAGATAAACGGTCACACAATTGCAACAGATTTTGCATGCGTCTGTGTTGTCTTTGCTGTTTAATATGGAGGGATGAGGCGACCATGCACTCAACATGTGATGTCATTTCCTTGTTAGATAAACGGTTGCAAAAATTGCAACAGATTTTGCATGCGATCATGTTTTTGTGCTCTTTTATCAGCCTTTATTAGCCTCTTCCACTTTATGAAAATCTATTCTGTATGTCAAAAAATCAGAAAAGCATTTGAACCCACATAAGAGATTCTAGTAATTCTCTTGGCTTCACCTTCATATGACATAAAATCGATTATCAGAGTTTTTCAGAAGTAAGGAACACACAGACCCAGCCCTGTTTTATTGTATTTTACTAAGCAGACGTCAGTGCCACAGTTAATTAGGGACGTTTCTGGAAGCAAAGGGCACGTCTTTATTCATTTAGCTATCACCAGGCAGTTCACTCAATCATTGCCGCTTAGTAAAGGACAGCAGGGAGGAGCTAGACAGCGTCAGACTCTCACACAGCTCCTTCAGTGTCTCCAGACAGGTAAATGGAATTAGGAAAGCAGACTTTGGTCACGGTACAAAGAAAACCAGAAAATAATATGAATTGTAAGGTGAAACATGGCATGATGGGGTCACAAAGCTATCAGTCTGCAATCTAATAGGGTATTTGAAAGAGTCATGACCTAGAGTGAATACTGTAATTTACAGCTCACTGCTTAGTGCACTCATCCAGAATAAAGGCAGGTTTTAAAACATCTTGCAGAAGGACATTCTCTGTGTTTGTGTGTGCCAACCTCCCTCTTGAAGACAATGATCTTAGCAACTTTCACATCAAGTTTTACATAAATTGAATTTGTCATATTGAAAAAAAGTAATTGTCTAGAATTCATATATATACTCCATCATCACTCCATTATATTCCAAAAGCAAAAAAAATAAAAAAAATGGTGCTAACAGAAGCATACAAAAAATGGTGCTAATAGTACTACTGAAAAATCATGATCCTAACTTCTATCTCCATGCTGAAATCTCAGATGGCCAGACAGCGATTAATTTTGTATGAATCATTAAAATATTGGTGTACAGGACGGCGTGAGCCAGAGACTGTTGTGAACACCATGAGATGTGAACTTTTAAAAGCTTACCTTAAAGGTGTTCTTTAAATAAACAGTGCTCATAAACAGCTGCTGAGATAGTATTCTAACTAAGAATACTAAGGAGACTTGGACCAGGAAATAGTATTCGATACATCACAACATGTAGATTGTGTGACTGCTAAATTTCTTAGAATTGCACTTCCTGTCATTCCAATTCAACATCCTGTGGGTGTGACCGATTCAATTAGGTATTCACAATTAATGGGGGCATGGTCCTTTTTCATAGTAAATTTGTGAGATGTTGACTATTGTATGCAAATTCCATTTTCATGGTTTCACTTTGGATAAAAGCTTTTGGAAAATGAATAAACATTAATGTATATACTATAGCATTCAGCAACTTTTTTACCTATAACCCCTCCTATGCCTTCCTGGAAATACAGACAGGATCTAAGGATCAATGCAATACAAGGAAAGCAAAGATGTATCTAGAACATCGCTCATGTCTTTATAATAGTGCACACTCCCAAAGGTGAAGTTCTCTATTGAAGTTCCATAGTTAACTTTGCATGTGTAAAATTAAGTCTCCTCCCGGTCCATCCCCACAGACCTCAGACCCGGACCAAGAATGGAAGCCTTTGAAGGATCCCTCAAATTATCTTTGGAATGAGACCATATTACCATAAAACTGCACAATTAATGAGATGCACATGGAAAATAGGGGCATGTGTGTCTGTGACAGGGAATTGCAAACATGACTTTCCATTCCCTGAGAATAAATACTATACTTAATATAGTACAAACAAACTCTTATTCAAGGCAGGCCATATAAAAAAAAAATGCATTTAGCTGGAAGGATATTTTTATATTAGGACCATGTCAGAGCAGACACTAAATAATTATTTTTCTCATGATTGATTTCTGTTGCAATTGGTATTTTTGCCACGTAAGGTAAACAAGTCCAATTTAATTAAGTAAAGTTTTATAGTTATGTAATTTGCATTGCACAATGAACTACAAGAACAGAAACTTTCCAAACACAATAATGGACTTCCTTTTTGTTGCATTTAACATCACAGCTCATGTACCAGCAGTATAGTCGCTATTAATGGCACTATGTATATTGTAATGATGTCATTTGTTTCAATATGTTTCTTCACATATTACCGGAGCTAAATGCACCAAGCAAACAACTGTATTAAACTGTATTAAAACACATATTAAAACCAACATGACAATGAAACTTAATAAAAAAAGCAAGCATGGCAAAACTTCAAAATAAAGTGCAAATATTATTTGGCTGAAAATGAAGTAATAAAATGCCAATCTTGATAAAACATTAACCCCAAATGGGGCATTACAGATGCAGCAATATATTATAATTATAAAATAACTGATAAGAAAAGACTATACAGAGTACAAAGAAAACCCATGTATATTATTTTTCTTTCATCTTTAGGGTCAAGACTGCAAAATAAATATTTTTTTTGATTGACACTGTTTGCTCTATATTAAAAAAGAATTATAAAACCAGCCCTGACCACTCAGATCGGTTGAGCTTGATTGAGCTTGATTGATTTATTAATTTTTTTCTGTTGCGAAAAATAAAACTAAAGAAAGGCCATCTTCTTCGGTACTTCATGAAATCTTACCTGCAGCCTACAATGTGTGGTTCCCACCTCCCTTATGTTTTGGCTCTGGAACTGAGGTGCTACGCTTTGTGGGTGGATTTAGTGCCAGACACTGCTAATGCAACTGAAAAACTGTTAACTGTTTAAAAAGTGTATAGGAAAGAAAAAAGTATACTACTTTAAAATCACCAGTTAACCGTCATCAGATATTAACTAGGACATTACATTTATTCTACAATAACATTTATCCTATATGTTTGGGAAGACTGTTTTACTGCAGGTGTTATGATGAACAGTAGGTTTTGCCAAATTACTTATTTAATTGATATTATAACTTGATGTCACAGCTTTTACTATGAACAATACGAATATTATTAATAATACACAATGTTATATAAATCTCTAAAACTTTGCTGTCATCTCAAGTATTCGTTACCTGTGAAGTTAGTCAATTTAAATATGCAAAATGATCTAATATTCTAAAATAAGTAATCTGACTTAAGTTAAAAAGCAGAAGTTAGAAGCCAAATTTACATAACCTGATAAAAGAAATGAATAAAAAATTATAATTTACACTTTATTACAAGAATTACCAAGCCGCAATTTTTTATTTATTTTTTTTCCTAAAGGAAACAAAGAATAATCATAGAAAATAAAGCACTAACTCAGCACACACTTTGTAATGTTTATGCATTGCTAAAGGGCAAGACAACCAGCACTGCCCAGCATGAGAAAATGAATGAGCTGGTTTGGGTCAGTATGGGAGAGCCAGCTACTGGGAGGAAACATGCTTAAAGCTCCCCAGATGCAGTTAAAGACCTGCGCATCAATAAGTAATGAATGCCAAGTGCAGCATGTTGTTTGGCTCGGTAGGGTGCTGGTGGCCTGTGGAGGCACATGTCCAGTGCAGGGCGGGCTGGAGGGTGGGGGGTAACATAGAAACAACAGGTGTTGGCGGATGTTGCCCTTTTATTCTGTTGCAAGAGTTATCTCACAATTGCTAACGATAAGCATCTGGACAAAGCTAGCTGGTCCTGGAACAGAGCAAAAGGGCAAGGTTTTCCCAGAGGAGGGAAACAGAGGCTTTGGAAATACTTGAAATGTCACCTCCTTTTGAGCCGATCTCAGAATGTGGTGGACATTCAAAACGCTCAGGCAGCTGTCGAGACTAAAGCTGTGGACAGAGCCAAAGGATGCCAAGTTTGCGCCAAGTCGGGATATCAGTGATGAATGTGTTATTGCGGAGAAGAGCATGTGACAGAAGCGAAAACATCTGATACTGAGCTACGATAATGATGATTCACACAAGTGTGCCTCCTTAATGCTTATGTTACATAACTCAGCAGTTACACACTATAAACAAAATATATATCAAGTGGCAAAATTGAGAACTTCTAAAAATTATTTTGACATTTTTGTGTGAATGCCACACAATATGCATGTCATGTACAAAGATTAAAGCGTAGAGCTTCATAAATACAATCTTGTCCATTCTCTGGCAGTCCATTAGCGTTCTCCTTGTACTCACTGTGAATACATAACAGCAATAACCTAATGACCTAAAGATGGCATACCAATGTCACATCATGTGTAATATAACTGCAAGATTTACTGGGTTTGCTGGGGCCTTGTTCTTGAAAGCTCTCAGAAGGGTTCTGTCTCAAGGTCAGCTGTGCATTGTGCAAATGAGCACAGACAGAAGCAGATGCAAAGAGAAAAAATAATAATTCCTGAT